AAGTAAATACCAGGCTATATAGACAAACCATTAGAACCATTTCTATATTTTTAGATATGTTGTAAATAAAGGCCAACATGCAAACAAAAATATTATGAGAAAGGGATGTATCTTTCTGCTGTTTGGAAAAATCAACTGTCCCAGAATAATTTTTGGAGGACTCTGTTCAATCCTCCACTAATTTGTAAAGTTTCCTTTTTTTCATATTTTGAGGGCCCATGTGTGCTTATGATTCTGGGCTCTGTGGGTATTAAAAACCAAAATGTCTAAGAATGTTAAATATTGTGGAGATGTGATTTCTGTGAGAATTCTCTTAAACTGTTAAAAGTTCTGATAATTAGCATAGCCACTTTGGAGAGAGTAATCAGGTAGCATTTTGCTAAACTGGAAAAGGATATACTTTCTTGCCCAAATGACTTCATTTGTTTATAACTTAGGAAAAAAAAACTCATTCATGTGCATGATAGGCAAGCACAAATATATTTATTGTACATTGTTAGCAAAAGAAAAAATGGAAGAAACCCAAATGTTTACCAATATAAAAATGCCTCGTGGTATGGTTCTGTTTGAAGACTATAGACCAGTTAAAAAGAATGAGCCTCATCTAGAGCATCATGGATAAAGCTCAAAAACAGTATGATAAGAAAAAACAATGCAAACATTTATTTACAAAAGAATACCACTGTTTAAAGGAAAATGCAGAATATACATCTTACTTTAGCTGCATAGATCTTGAGGTAAATGTGTAGTAACACTAACATCATAACCAATATTGTAGCTCTTTCAGGATGAAAAYAAAGAACAACCATTTAATAATATTTTTGTTTGTCAAAAAATGTGAAGTAAATATTGCAGGTCACTAACCAGGGTTTATTTTAGATAGCCAATACATAGTGGATATTGTGCATTACATAATCTCTAAGTAGTTTTTAATTTGAATTTTATACTCTGAGCTAGACATACTACCCTGATGGCATGCCCCAGCATGCTTTTATCCCCTGCTACCCTGCATCACACGCTCACATACCACCCACCTATGGCAGGACCTTAATTTTTTTTTAAATATTTTTTTTAAATTTGTTTTTATATGGTGCTGAGGATCAAACCCAGTACTTCACACATGTGGGGCAAATGCTCTACCACTGAGCCACAACCCCAGCCCAAGATCTTCATTTCTAAAGATCAGTTTCCAGATAAAAGGAAGTAGAGTTTTAAAAAGTTAATTTTTTTAATAATTTGACACTTTGTTCATGTTTATTATTTTTAACCTTGATTTTAAATAATATTTGCTGTAGAAGTTAAAAATTTTAGTTTTAGCATTAGTCAGGCATTTGAATATTCGGTATGCCACTTACCATCTCTGTAACCTTGGGCAAGGCTTATAGATTCTCTGGTCCTGTGTTCACTTATATGGGATGTGGTAATAATCATTTTATGCCTCACAGGGTTGCTTAAGGAATTGTTTAGATAACACATAGGGAACACTTAATAAATGTTTGCTATTGGACTAGGGGTGTTACTCAGTAGTGGAGAGCATGCCTAGCATGCACAAGGCTCTAGGTTCAATGACCAGCACACACACATACACACACACACACACACAAAAAAAAAAAATGTACCATTTGTTGTTATTATTAGTAGAATTATTATTACTATGGCTATTACTACTACCACTTAGAATTAAACAAAACATGTTTTGTTAATTTAAAATGGGTATCAGTTTGGTATATAAAAATCATAAGGAAAGGATGATCAGTTAATTAACTTACATCAGGTAGGAAAATTTTATATTTACTTCTTTAGAACTTCAAAATGACACTTATTGTAGGTGTCTGTAGTAGCATACTATGTTTATACAATAGTTAATTTAGTACCAAACTAATTAGTAAATTTGGCATCTTCCAAAAAGGGGTTGAAAAGAAATCAAAGTGATTTGATTAAATTTTGTATTTTCAACCAGCTGTGTTTGCTGAAAATATGACTAGCAAGAAATACATAGAAGTTTATTTTGGGTGGCAAGCATAGCTTTGTTTGTTTTTTTTCCTACTAAGCTGAAAAGAGTTTCATTTCTTCCTGCCATATCTCTAGAGGACATTTTATAAAAGAAAAAAAGTATTTAGGGAAGAATCTTAGACATTGTTTTATAAACTACTTTCCAGATATTCTTCTTACAGGTTCACAAGGTTGTTCTTGAGTCTATTCCTTAATGTTTTTTTGTTAGAATAATCTGGAAAGACCATAAAATAAAGAAGATAACTAGGAAGATGGAGAACCACTGATCTACGAAACAAGGCAGTATGACTCAAAGTCTTATCTAAGGACCAGCATCAGCTGCATTCCCTAGAAACTTGCTAAAAATATAGAATTTCAAGCCTCACCCCATATTTACAGAATATTCATTTGAACAAGACTACTGAGTGGCTCCTATGTGCATTAAGTATTTTTTAATTTTTTTTTTTACAGTTGCAGGTGGGCACAATATCTTTGTTTCATTTATTTATTTTTATGTGGTGCTGAGGATCAAACCCAGTGCCTCAMACGTGCTTGGCAAGTGCTCTCCTACTTAGCTACACTCCAGCCCCAGGTKTTTTTTTTTTATTGGTTGTTCAAAACATTACAAAGCTCTTGACATATCATATTTCATACATTTGATTCAAGTGGGTTATGAACTCCCATTTTTACCCCGTATACAGATTGCAGAATCACATTGGTTACACATCCACGTCCAGCCCCAAGTTTTAAGAAGTATTAAGGCAGCTGAGCCTGCTGACATGTGGATGGCTGAGTTAAGGCTGTAATTAAAGGCATATTCCTAGCCCTATCCTCTCTACTTAACCAAGCAGGCTTCAATCTTAAATTTGTTTTCTTGGGATGCCTCCCTAATGGAAAGAAAGTAATAAAGAAATATTTCTTCATTACTATGTATTAAGTTAAATTTGAAAAGAAAATTAGACATCTCCAATGGTCTAAAAATTTTTTTCTAGGTAGATGAAAATTTATTCCATTATAGTTTCTASAAACCAGGGTTTTCAACTCCAGGATGCAGTTTTAGATCTATCTGGGAAGATTTAAAACGTAGTGGTTCCCCATTAGATCTACTGAGTTAAAATTTCTGGGGGTAGAGCCCCAATATTTGTGTATTTTAATGCTCTCCTGTGGATTTTGGTGTACAACAGTTTTGAGAATCACTATGGATTAACTCTAAGTTTACTGACTTCTACATATCACCATCTCATTAAATCCAAATTAAGTTCAGTCAGTCACTTTGGCTTTCTAAAAACAATTACTACTGACTTCAATTATATTAAGCTGTTTTATAAGGTCAACTAAATATTTAGTGCATGGTATATCTTTACTAATTTCAGTTCATCCCTATTTTATGATAACAGTTAATTATCTATGTTAGTAAYGGTAAGGATGTACAATAATAATCCCCAAACAATATTAACATTTTACTTTATGAAGTAGAACACTAATTTCATAGTGTTTTTGCCTTGTCATATCTTTGACAAACATAAAAAATATCTTGTATTCCCTAAGTGAATCCCAGCTGTAAGGTACAAAGAGATATCCATAAAGGTGTTCCTTGGCAGAAAGAAATCAGTTGTTATGAAAAACTCACTTAGTAGATAAAGTCCATTGAAATTTTCTGGGCAAGGAGCCAAAATTAAATTTCAGTTGAAATGGTACACAGATTGCATAGTGGTCTTCAAACATGAGTTGAAAATTACGAGGAAATCAAACAACTAAGTGAAATGTTTGGGCATGTAACTTAGCTGAAGAAAACAGGCACGTGTTTTGAATGAAATGAGCAGCCCTACCTCTATGTCACTGCCAAATACATATTTTTAATTCCATAAAGTACAAAAAATTTGGAGTATTATGCAGGTAAAACTTCATGTAAAATAGGTTTTATTCATATCTTGAAAATAAAATCTTAAATTATAGAATACCCTTGTGAATTGAATTTAGTTGTTCCCAAGTAAGTCACAGATTATTGGAATAAGACATTATTAGCCTACTGTTCATAATGGAATTTTCAAGTACAAAGATAAAATACAAATGTTATCCCAATCACCAAGCCTTTGAGTTACTGTGCTTTGCTGACAGGGAGAATCTGTCCAGACTAAAGAAAGACTTCTGTAAGCCTGTCCTTCTATGATCAGGARAGGCCTTTGAATGCTGATGATTTAATGTTTAATTTATGTCATTAGGTAATATTGACATAAAATTCAAGAGACCTAAGGATACAAATGATATTACAAAAATAAAAATATAAAACTCTTTTCTACCAAGCTTAGAATCTTTCTGAGACCAAATATTTAAGTTAAATGAGACTGTTCACTGGCCTCTGAAGAAAATTTATAATATTAAATTGTATCTAAATATAAAACCATTATATATTTATGATTAAATGCTTAATAAATGATGATGGTCATTTAATTGAGAACAATCCCATTATGTTCACATGATAAACACATCTGGTTTTTTGATCACCATTTTACCATTTGGAAACTTAGGAATAAATCAAGTAGGAAAATAACAATGGTAGTAGACAGGCATGGTGGACTATAACAATCAGCTTAAATAGGTAGGGTTTGGGTAATTATAGTTTGCTTTGTTCCTTTATAGTTTTCAGACAAAGTAGAACTACTTTGCTTCCATTTACTTTTAATAAAATTTTTATTTAAAAAAGAATACTTAATCAAACATTTAAGGGACACAATTATGAACTCTTTGAAGATAGAAAAATTGCTCAGGGTAGATACTGATTATAGGCTTTTATAGTAACTACCTGTATGACCTCAGGTTAAGTACTTCACTGTTAAGAGAATATACCCCATATTTAAAATGTGGAGGTTTGGCTAGCTGTACTCTAATGTCATTCTCATTTTTTAAAAAAACTCTGTGAYTCAAATTCTAGTTTAGCCATGATGTGGTATAAATAATAAGCAGAGTAATAGATTTCAATTTTAAATTTTGAATTCAAGAATACTTACAGTTAAGGCTGTTGGTCCTGGAGGCCCCATGTCTCCCTAAAATAGATGAAAGAAAGTTAAAATTATAAATAATCCCTCTTTTGCACATTATTTGTAAGTTTCTGAGTGGATAGAAGCAATACCTGTAGGTAAATATTGAAGGACAGAAAAACTGAATTTATCTTRATAAAAGTCTCTGCACGATGAAAAATTTATTATGTGTCCTTTAGTTCTCATGATATAAAAATTGCCTTATGCACCCACATGCTTTTTGCAGCAGCCGAGATTGTTTTGAAAAGCTAAAATAATCTAATTTTCTATTCTTTTGACTACTAATTCAAAATTAGGAAAAAATATCTTTTCAAATATGGTTACTTGCCAATGGAGCAGCTGGGAAGTGTCACAGTGACAGATAATTTTTCTGACAAAGTTAGTATAAGGATCAGCAGAAATAATAAGTGGATCTCCCCACTTCATGCCTCCAGCTGCAAGAAACAGTTCCCACGGCCTCTTTTAAGCTCTGCTGAATTGGCATTGCCCTTGCCATCAACTGTAAGAGGCTCTGCCTATATTTAAGAGGCTCTGCGTATATTTATGCATTTTCAAATGATGAAATTGCTTTTCTGACCTATATGAATACAAATTTTCAGGTGCATATGTTAATAAACCATTAAAAATCTTTTAAAAAATGGTTAATTTAAAAGTTCACTATTTTCTACTGTGTCACTTCTGTGCTTATTGTCTCGGGAACTCTATTTCATAAGAACTCTCAATCATTCTGACTGAACATCCTTGCTTATGGTTCTTGTTTAGTTGAACATTATGGGGTTCATAAGTCTATCCTGTATGGCAAAGGGCACTAGGATTTTGTATTCTCCTTTTGAGAGTAGCCTTAACTTCTTTTTTTTCTCACCAAATTTAGCTAACTTAGAAGTCAAGACTTACTAAATTGTGTTTCATTTTTTGGTGTGGGGGGGAAACTGAATTAAAATAATTGATAATTGTTAAGGGATATTGCTGTAGCTTAAGTTAGTCACTAAGAACAAATTTACAAGATCACCTTCAATGCAGAGATAAATATTGGAGATAGATAAGGATTTTTAAATGTGCTGAAAGCTGAGAACAAAATACAGTGCAAAACATACACATTAACAATTTTCATCAAGTTGAGGTCGCCTAATGACCTTATTCAACACGACTCTTGCTTGTACTATTCCTTAATTCTCTTTTCAAGGTTACTGCCAATAGACCATTAACAAATAGCATATGGGAAAATGTGGCAGGAAATGGAGCATTTAGACTAAGACTGAGATTTCAAGTTAGATTCTTTATTCCCAAAGCCACCTGCTTCACAATTATGGTGGCAGCTCAGTATTGTTGGCTGAGTTCCCCAATATAAGACACCTTTGCTAATTTAAGATTGACTACAGCATGCTGTTAAGCAAGGGTAAGAAAAGGGAAATCTTATAAACACCAGTTAAGTCAACTAGCAATTGCACATTTAGTCTCTTCAAATTAATTAAATGAACCAAAAGGCTTTGTTATTGTTGATATGCTTTTAATGTCTTTGGTTAGTTTTAAAATGTTTTTGGCAATTAAATGGTATCCACAAGAAGTCACTGCACAGGTTTCTGATGTTTTCTTAAGAAAAGGTTGACACATTTTTGGTAATACAATACCTTTTCTCCTTTTGGACCAGGTGGACCACGAGGACCCAAGTCACCCTTCAAACCCTACACAAAGAAGATAACCAATATGATTTTTTAATACAGGTCATAGAAAGATTCAATTTCAAACAAGTCATTAGTAACAAGATAAATCATAATTTACTGAACTCCCAAATCCCATTCTTCCTTTTGTGGTATAGAGAAAAATAAAGACAACTGGCACTAAAATGATAAGCAACATCTGCACTGTGGTGGGTACAGATACATTAAATCAGCACGAGTTCTCAATACTGCATATTTGTGCAACTTTGCTTCCTGCTAAAATGACATTAATTCACCATCTGGGAGAACATCATTTAGATCTATATGAGCTTTTAAGTATCCACTTTGGATTAAATTTGTGGATGTTGTAAATACCTCTGATTTAGCATTGATTTGGCCTTTATAAAGCTTGCCAAAATATTCAAGAGTTAAATCAAAAACATTTTTACATCTCTATCAAGAAATTTAATTGTGGGGAAAAAGGAATGAAGGATGCATTCTTTTTCTGTCAATCACAATGCAGGGGCTAAAATGTAATCCCTTTCCTGTTTTAAAGTGTGCTTTAGTGTTCTAATTCCTTTCTTTTTTTAAAACCTGGATTTATAAAGATATCAAGTGGGACTACAAAAGACATAGACAGAATATCAGATAAATATTTTCATGAATCCTCTGAACTCTTTGGTGTTTTCATGGGTATTTAGTTGATCTGACTTGGAAATGACAGCTTTCGTGAATACCACAATAGATTTCACTGGAGGAGATCAGTTCTACAGCTGAAAGTATTCACAGTGTAAATGGAAAGAAAGTTAGATAGACATATCCTCACTGTGTGGTAAATAGAAAGAAAAATCTTCCTTCATCCTTTAATTTAACACATTGGGTGAGTGAAGAACAATGATGGAAAAAGGAAATATTCTGAAGCCACACCACGCATAGTAAATCCAAGTGTCTTACTGTTGCTCACTCAGGGATCCAGCTATTACTGCCCTGACATTTTGTAGTGAATAAATAGTGCCAAATGCCAGCATCTGTAGCTACTCAATCCAAAACCAGAAATGGATAGAAGGAAACAAAAGAAAACCAGATACTTAAAATAATCTTGTTGCAGAGAGCATGTGGAAACTTGAATTTTATACATTAAAAAAAAGTTTTAATGAATGAAAACAACATCTAATTGGCCAAAAGATTTTGTATAGTTGTATAAATGCTTTGTGAACAAAAACCATAGTTATACATATATTTTCTATCATTATTCTGGAATAGTTACAAAAATAAAGAGTAATAAATAAATAAATATATTTGAGATTTATTATTATTATTTGACATATCCATTGCTTCTAAAATCATATATGTTTTCAGAGTAAAACTTGGCAACAGCATATCCTAACTACATGGGGGAAGACAATCGTCATTTCTGGGAATAGATTTTTATCATCCATTCATCCATTTATCCAATAAACATGTACTATATCACTGGTGTGCACTCATTCTTCTAGACTTCAATCTGCACTGTCCATTACAGTACCCTAAGCACAGGTAGCTCTGAACTCTTAAAATGGGACTATTTGAACTGAGATGTGCTATGAAAGTAAAATGTCATTAGGTTTCTAATATTTGCTGTAAGAATGTAAAATATTTCATTAATAAATTTTATATCAATGATGTGTTGAAATGGCAACATTTGAAATAATGAAATAACTGAAATATATTTTTAAAAGTAGCTTCAACTTCCTTATTTTTCTTTTGCCTTTTCTAATGTGGCTGCTAAAAAAATGTAATATATGTTTGTCTTGAATTTGTGGCTTTCATTATATTTCTATTGGATAATACTGTCTTAGAGAAATAAAAGAATCAAAAGTTGGTAAATATTCTCTCCATAACCTCCTTTCAATCAGGTTTTCCTCAGCCCTCTAAACTTCACCCCACTTTCTGTTCTTGGCATGCTCAGGCCAGTTATAGCAAGAATCTTGCTGAGTCTATTTAGGAAAAATCTCCCACCCTTGATATCTGTTTGTCATTCTCTTTCTTTGCTATCTAAGATACTGGCCTATGTTTAGTAAGAATTTTCTTATATCAGGTCATCCAAGAATCACCCCACCCTTGCTATCTCCTCTTATGAAGTTTCTACCCATTGGCCCCCTTTCTCTATTTATTAACTATGGAATGCCCCCTTGCCCTTGTTGTATTTGGATTTGAGCCCAATMTCTCTCYCTTACTGAAGTTCCCCTTCTGCAATAGTCTTGAATAAAGACTTTCTTGCCATTAAAAAAATAAACAATAGAATAACTTTTCTCTTTAACAAAATCAAGGTTCCTGCTCTCATGGAACTCATAGGAGGAGGGAGACYGACAATGAACAGGTCCACAGGCTGACTGATGAGTGAAGGGGAAAGCTGCTACTTCAGGTAGGGTGGTCAGAAACAGCCTCTGTGTGCAGGGGACATTTGTTATTTCAGAAGAATCCAGCCATACAATGATCGTGGGGAAAAGTATGAGGGTGGTTGGAACAGCAGACAAAAAAATCCCTAAGGTGGAAGGAGTGTCACTGGCATGCAAGTGAAGAAGAGTAGGGTTGGTCATAGATCATGGCACATAGAGAACTGCAGGCCATGGTGAGGAAGAGGAAATTTTAAAAAGTGCAATGGGAAGCCATTTAAGTGTGTTGTAATCGGGAAAATAACATGGTRTTACAATTTTAAAAGTATTGCTTTGGCTATAAGGTAAAATGTATACTTTAGGCAGCAAGAGAGCAGTAAAGTGGTTATGACAGCTTTCTGGGCAGGAGAGCAAGATGGTTGGGATGGGTGGTGACAGTGGAGATGGAGAGCCATGTTCAGAATGGGAACATACTGGTAGGCAGGACTGGTAGATGTGGGAGCAGTGGGCTGGGAAAGGGAGCTGGGAAAGGGAGCTGGGTTAAGTAGCTGGCTGGGAGGTTGTGCCACTTATTGTGCTAAAAATTTATTTAAAAGCAGTTTTATGTTTTCTTGCTCATGCAAAACTATACAGAGAAAGGACAAACGTGAAAGAAATAGCTGATAAAGACCCTGAGATCCATTTATTTAACGAAAATCTACAAACATGTAAGACTAATCTATATATTCCTTACAAACATGAATAAGAAAACATAATTCCTAAAAATGGAAGAGAGCAGTAAGTACAACATTTAAGAAAATGACTAACTCTGGAGTGGAGGTGGGATGGGAGAACCACACAGGCAGTTTTGAGAGGAGGATGATTTTTATTTTTTTTTAATTTTTATTTTTTTAAAGAGAGAGTGAGAGAGAGAGAGAGAGAAAATTTTTAATGTTTATTTTTTAGGTTTTGGCGTACACAACATCTTTGTGTGTATGTGGTGCTGAGGATCGAACCCAGGCCGCACTCATGCCAGGCAAGCGCACTACCGCTTGAGCCACATCCCCAGCCCATGATTTTTAGTTCTTAAAATGATTTCTGAATTTGGTGATGTTTCAGCTATAACTATTATTCATAATTATTCATCCATTATGTACATTTCATATATTATTTTGTAAGCATAAAATAATACATTAAAAAATTCAAAGGTTTTTTTCCTGATAAATCAATCCTAAGTATAACTTCCAGAGAAAAAAGACTTATTGGTAGTTGACTCAGCTAACTTTCTTGGGTTGAGTCAACCATGGCCAGGCATGGGGTGAGGAATAACATTTATAAGACAATGCAACTACTCAGTATCATCATAGATTTCTACAGGTGTGAAGAGAGCAGTTCCCCAGGATGCTCAATCCTACAAGGGTGTTGAAGACTTCAGAAACATGAAGATCAGGAGAATCAGTAGAGAAATAGCATTTTATGTATTATCTTGGGTAGTTTACTTAAGCATCCCTATAAGATAGGCAAAAGTAATAGTTATTTTGAATAGTTCTTATGAGAATCATGTTGTAAAAACATTTAGTACATTGCAGGTGCTTAATAAACGTTACTTTTCATTCTTTAAGTAGAAGTTTAAGGGTTAATTTGCAGTTCTTGTTCTGTTTTATATTCAGTTTGATGGATAGGTACCAACCTCATTTTAATTCATATAAGATAAAATGCAATTGAGAAGCTTCTACTTTCATGGCCATTGAAGTGGACCCATGTAACTCATGTCCTTCTGTGACAAAGTACAATGTTGTTAAGGTGATGGCATTGTAATAGGCTCAGAGAAATAGATCCATACTGCTTTTGTAGGGTAAAAATTTTCTCCTTGTTTCTCCCTGGTGACACTATCAATGGGTTACTGAATGCTGGGGAGAAAAGACACAGTGATCTCCAAACAGCATAAAGCACCAAAAGGAGCAGACACTAAATTTAAGATGGAATAAGATGAGTATCTACTATGAAAGTTTTCAATAAAATTCATGTACATAAAGATACTTAAAAGCACAGCAGCTGATTCTGCATGTGTAATGTGGAGATAGAAACTCTGATCCAAAGGCAAATGGAAGCTGAACTGGAATTATAAAAGCAAGTAGACAATAAAATTTTTACTGCAAGAATTAGTTCTCATGAGGTGCAGCATCCTTAAAAACCAGATGATACAAAATAATGTTATTTGTGGAAATTTTTAACCCATTAATTAACTTTGTCTCAGGTTCCACTAACTGCACCTTACTTCCTACATTGGCAACAGCTGTCGCCAGTGGATAGCTCTGGGTTTGTAATTTCAATATTTTGTATTTAGTAGCACAAKATTGCATTGGTATAAGGAGATTAACATGATTATTTTAGAAACATCTAATGCTATTCTGATAAGGGATGTTTGAAAGACCACAGTAAAGATGCAGMGAAGACACTAAACTTAATGATGAAAATCTACTTTTCTAATATTACATAACCTTAAAAAAATCAAATAAATGAAAAGATTTTTCTATTAGAGCTAAATGTGCTGTTTTAACCCAGTTTTTAATAATAGCAACTGTTTTATAGCTCTTTACTATGTGGAAGACATTGTTYTAAATGCTTAATATATGATAAGTCTTTGGATCCTCCCAAAAAATCCTGTGAGGTAAGTACCATGAATATTAACATATCATTGTGCAAATAAAGACAAAAAGAATAAATATCATTATTAGTGCAGAGCTGGAACTTGAATCCAGGTAGCCTGGTTTCAAAGGTCATGATGATAACTATGCAATACTCCTCAAGTCTGTTCTAAGATATCACTTATTGAATGCATCTCATATTATCAAAATCATTTAATTGTACTCTAGACTGTGTATCAAGATGAAGTTTTAAATTTTAAAATATAAATTCTAGCAATTTAATTTTTTTACAATTTCAATGTATGTTTGATATACTTTATTTAAACTATAAGGAAACTACTTATACCATAGAGAGCAAGAGAGAGCGAGAGAGAGCAAGCGAGCAAGAGATGATTAGGGGCTGTTATGGGCATTTAATATTATTTGGTAAACCTCAAGGATGCTAAACGTTCTGCTTTTGAAGGACAGACCACATGGCAAAGAATTGCCTTGCCCAAAATGCCAACAGTGCCCTGTTGAGACTGAACTTCTATATACCTTTCTTTAATTAAGGTTTATATTTTTGGAAGTAATCTGGTCCATTTTATGGGAAAACTAGCGTAGAAAAAATTATTATAAGATACATTGACATTTAGGAATATGTGATATATTACAGTAAAGACTATAAAAAAGAACGTAGAAATATTAAATCATTCCAACTTATTGTGAATTAGAAAGTAGTTCAGAAAGGAGTGAGCTGGCCCATCAAGCTTGTTCACTATGCACTCTAATAGAATATATTTGAAGTAATAATCTCCATCAATGACTTGACTTCATTTCAGATTAAAATTGCCATTTTAATAGCTTCAACCMATATTCATGTATACCTGTGCATACTGAGAGTCAGAGAGAACTGTCATAAATGCTGAATTACTTTAGTCTGCAGAGGCTATTATTTATTTTAGCATTAAAAAATAGGCAATGATGTGTAGCACAATATAGTCGGGAAAAGACTTTTCAGTCAAACACTTAGGTTAAAGTCAGATTTTACTCTTTTCTTTTTTATTATTTTTAGTTGTAGGTGKACACAATATCTTTATTTTACTTATTTATTTATTTATATGTGGTGCTGAGGATAGAACCCAGTGCCTCGMATGTGCAAGGCAAGCACTACACTGCTAAGCCCCAGCCCCAGCCCATATTTTACTATTTTCTAAAATAAAGTTGCTTAATTTGCTAAGCCTCCATTTGTTGCCTCTGAAAATAAGGATGTTATTGCCCCCTGTTCTAGCTACCACATAAAGCTGAGCAAGGGCTGAACTTTGAATTTGTTGTATAAACAATTTATATGCTACAACATGATGTTAATACTTCCACTACTGTTGGTACAATAATACAGCATCAGATTCTTTACATCAAGGGATAGTAGAGGAGAAAGAGGAGAAATTTCATTACTTTTTCTTACTTCTTGATAATGACTCCTGAATATCTTTGGCAAAATTAAGCAAAGGAAAATAACACCATCCACATATCAATTAAGTAACCAAGTGAGAAAAGTTAATGTCCTTTGTCATGCTTTATAGTGTTCTTAATGAGCTACATTAAACAATTATAGTGCTAAAGAAATAGAACCTCTGTGTTTGGGGCCTGTGAAAGACTCTTTCAGGATTCCTCCTGGGGAGAAAAGGTCATAGTCACAGGGCCCACTGGGCTCTGGGCCCTCCCAGCAAGTTTGGTTTTGTTCAGATAGGAAGTTCAGACAGTGGCAGCCAGAGAATTTGGACTTTGTGGTAGGTACTCCAACATACTGTGTATCAACTGATTAATTCTAAAGGCCTATCAGCTTACTTTCAGACAACAAAGAAAATTTCCTAATCTTTAAATTTCAGTTTTACTCAGATGTTTGGAAAAATTCTTTCTCTAATATTATTTCAGCTCTAACATTATTTTTACAAACTTTAAAAAATTTGTTTTGCCTCTGTTATCTGAGAGAGCTCACATGCACAGAAGGTGGTTTTCTTTTACAACACTACAGTTTATCTTTTAGATGCTCTTATATTGCTCACAAGTTAAAAATCCTTCCCATAAAGAATGGTCACAGTGTTGGATAATTTTTGAGTTTTCATTCTGGTTAAGTGCCAAATTTATATGTATATATCAATGACATGTAGATCCATCGATCCATCCATCTATCTACCTACCTACTTACCTACCTACCTACCTATCTATCTTATCTTTCACCTCTGCAATATCTCTGTGTACCTTTCCCCAAACATTACTATATACTAGTGTAACGGGGACTTAGACTCTTCATTTGGGTCTGCAAATGTAATGTCCAATGGGTAACTAAAAGCAGGATTAAAATCTTGACATCTCTGCCTCCACTTTGCATCTGTCTCCTTTGCTCTGAGTCACCTTGGATTCCAGGAACAATAGGTCTGATCCTTAAACATCCTGTGATGAGCTGAAATTACCCTCAGATAATAGCAATGTTAAGKCCCTGCATGAACAGTCCTGAGATGATGGGCAACCAAATCCCTGTTTGGCCAAGCCTGCGGGATGATGCATATTTCTGGTTCCCTTCATCTATATAATCTGGAAGCTCATGTCAGTATCCTTAAAGTCAGGGTTGAGGATATGGGTGCCCTTGTTTTCCTGGTATAGCTACAATGATTAAAGCTCCCTTCCTTCTCTTAGCCATTACTTTTTCCATTTGTTTTTTGGGGTGAGTGGCTGGATCTGATTTGTTGGGACCCCAGTGTAGGACCTCTGGCATAGGATTCTGGTAACACTAGGGATTCTAAGACATCGTCTTTGATTTTAGGGAGAAACTATAAGAACAGAAAACCAGGCAAAGGCTCAAACTACCCTTTTAGGACACATTATAAAATGAATCTTCACTTAGACACAGTTTGGATCCTATCTCCCCTGTGTTCATAGGAAGAACTGATATTCTCAAATGCAGTACTTCCTACATTCTGGATCCTACTACTTTTCTGGTTTTGTTTTCTCCATAGCACCTTATATATTGCAAGCATTCAAAAAAAAAAAAAAAAACCAGAATGAAGCTTCAAATCTCATCATATTTTTCAAGTTTGGAATCTTAATAATCTCTTTATGTAAGATCAGAGGACACTTTCATCATGGAGAAATAAGTCAGTCTAAAGTCTATCATTTTTTTAGACTCCGAGAAGTGATTTGCTCAGCTAGTGGTAGAACTGGGATACAAACTAGGCGCTGGCCTTCTGCTCCAGAACCTCTAGTGATGGGTAAGGAGGCAAGCCTGCTAGTCTGTTTAAACATGTGTCAGTGTCCAGATGTGCTAAGGTGGAGAGAGTGACTCCCCAGATAGAAGCTATTGGTACAATAGCCCATTCTTGGATGTAGGAAAATCACTTCAAAAGAGCAGAGGAACAGGAATGAGGGTTATATTTTAGATGTGAATGGAGCTTTCTGGAAACTAAACAAGGTAGTAAAACTATGTGTGAGAGGGTGATAGGATGGGAAATTAGATCCTCAGGCCAGTATTGGTTACAAGGGTTAACTTCTAGGGACATTCTTCCGCAGGAGCTTCCCTCAGGGAGCCCTCTTAATCCACCACTAGCCCCAAGGATTGGTCTTCAGCTTTGCTTCTCATTGTAATGATCTTCTGCATAGAAGATGCACAGGGCATTAGGTAACTAGATACAGTCCTAAGTATTGTTTCCTTAGCTTATTCATAGAGCAGGCAGGRTGGTCTTTCAGGTCCTTATGTAAGTGAGATAAGGAAATCAAAATTAAAAAAAATAATTCTTATTTTGGATACTCCCCCCAGTAAAGTTAGGATGTCTATAGCAAATGGAGAGTTTGATGACTTTAAATGAGATTATATTTCAGAAGAAAGCCCAGATTTAGGCTATTATTCAAATTTCCTCCTAAAAACTAGGATGACATTCTGAAGGGGAGGAGGTGATGACTGTTTTGAGGTAAAGGGAAGGAGATGACTGGGAAGCAGGGATGTCACTGGCTGTAGTATTCCAAGGTTAGGAACTGGTGGTCAGGGAGCAGTTCAGATACAGAGGTCTCCCTACACTTCTTCTCGCTAATGGGGTTTTGGAGAGAGAAGTCAGGGTGACGGTACAGGCCCCTACAGAATATATGTAAGAAGAAAGGAAGACTTAAAAAAATACACCTGAAAGAGCAAATACAAAAGAACTGCTAAAGGTAAGCACAAATATGAAATATATAAAAGCCAAATAATTAAAAATAAAAACTGTACTGCTAATATGCCATGAAAACAAAACAAAACAAAAACTACAAACACTGCCCCCTCTCACAAATCCAAAAAGCTGCCTTGATTCTTAATTTTGCTCCACTGTGGCTAGTTCTGCCAAGGGCAGTCAAATCTTAATGGCACTAGATAGACTATTTCAGTGGCAAAATGTAAACAGAAGATTAGAAAAAAGACAGGCTTACATCTTGTCCATTAAGGCCAGCCAGTCCTGGGTCTCCTTTTGCTCCTTGTTCACCCTAGAAAGAAACAATTTATACAGTGAAAATGTTACATCCTTTGCTAAGAAAAAACTGGAGAGTTACATTATTTGGATATTGATAACCAACGAGTAGTTTGTTAATCCCTTAAAAGAAACATTTATTCAATAACAATCTAGGTTCTAACACCAAAAAGAAGTTTAAAGGTTCAAAGAAAAGCTGAAAAAAATTGATGAAAGAGTGGAACTAGAACAAGATTTATTTATGTTCCTCTATAAGGAACAGAACTTTTTGGAGGGTAATTTGGCAGTATGTATCAAGAATTTTTAAGCACTTCTGAGTGAAGTGCTTTCACTTTTAAGAATGTATCCAAAAGAAGAATCAGAGGTGAAAAGTTTAAGGCACTAATACATAGGGCACCATGATATTTATTAGGAAAAAAAGAAAAGTATCCTAAATGTCCAATAAAGAGAACTGATTAAATAAATTATATATATATACACATACACATACACATACAAGAGACAGACCATAATACAGCCATTAAAATCATGCTTAGTAATTTTATAAGAAAATTCTTGTGGTATAAAAAGTAAAATTTAATTAATCAATAGAAATATTTAGTGAATAAATGTTAACCATACCTATTTTTATTATTTTAAAGTTATAAATATTCAAAATGGCTACTAATGCCATTGTGGATGATACATGCCTATATTGATTTTTATGTTTTAACTTGGTTTCTGTCTGAAAGGTGTACACATTTATTGGCACACTCTGCATATCCGGAGAACATTTAAAGTTCTTAGAAAATACCTGTCTGCCTATCCATATATCTATTCACCAGTATATCTGTCTATCTATAGATCTTAAAAATAATATTAAGAAAATACAAGCCTAAAAATAAAAGTAGTTTAATATTTTAAAATTTCTTTCTAGCTATAAACATATATTATCTGCACAGTCAGTAAATATTTAAGAATAAAATATTATATATATAAAGGAGTCAACCAAGTCTATTATACTGTGTATGTATGAATATACATGCTTTATGCCACTAAGGTAATTTTTATTCTCTCTTTTATATTTTCTGTTTTTCTTTTGCATTGAACATTATTATTGCTACTTGCAAAATGTTATCAAAAAGCAAGTATCCCATTTTAAGAAAGAAGGCATCAGATACTGAAACACTCTACAGAAATATGTGTGCATAGTCCCAATCACCTAAGAACATGTATAGTTATTATAATATTGACAATACAAGAAAAGAAGTAAAAATAACTTGATCACCAGAATATAAGAATATATATGCCTAAACACATATATGACAAAATTATACAAATCATGTTCATTGAAATAGTTACAATAAAGCTAAGAAGTTAGATCTGAAAACACAGGACCCAGGAGTTACTTTAGAGTTGTACCACCAGCAATATGTAGCTATTTAAATTGATTAAATAAAAAAGTTAAAACTCAGTTCCTCAACTCTTCTAGCCATATTTCAGGAGAYACGACAGTGCCGACCCCATTGAACTGTGCAGATTAGGACATTTCCATCTTCACAGAAAATTCCACTGAATAGTCGTGATGAAGAGGGTATCATTTAGGACCAGAAGCTGTTGGTAGAGATCAGTGGAAAAGTGTTTGTTTGCCTAGCATGTATGAGGCCTTGGGTTCAACACCCAGGACCTCAAAAATGAAACAAAACAGAACTCAGAAGAAACATAACAACTAGGAAGCTCATAAGTGCACTAAATAATATRTCTATATAGTTAGCAGCTGAGAAATAATACAGTGTATAAATGTTTTCATAAAAGATATTGAACACAAGTTAACAAAATGAAGTTTTTGATATAYGAAGACAACAGTAATTCTATGGACAACATTATTAACTTTAGAATATAATTAAAAATGAAGACACTCTTTATTTATGAATACTGATTCTGGGTTCAGGGGAGTAGCTTAGTGGTAGAGCATGTGTTTAACCAGCATGAAGCCCTGGGTTCAATCACCAGCACACACCCCGCACAAATAATGGTCCCTATAGATGGAAAAAATGAACTTTCTCTATATTAAAGGGCTATGTATCTATAAGGAAATATGAAAGCTTGAATGTGGTCAATTTTTAAAAGTTAAATAATAACATACTGAATAGAGTTGATAGTCGGATGGGCTTTATGCTATATGGCAAGAGGGTAAGAGGTATGGCAGAAGGCTAAAGAAGAAAAACTCTGCTTCAAGTTGGTGACTAGAAAAAACCTACAATGGATCTTTTAAAGTGTAAGTTTTAATGTAAAAAGCAAACAGGTCGCTGAAAGCGAGTAGGGTTAACTGAAAACAAGTTAWTTACGCCATTATTATCATATTCATCAAACACATTTATAGTGTTCACTATGTTCCAGGCACTGCTACACGCATCTTGAAATTCTATGACAACTCAGGATAAACACAGGATTACTATTTTCATTTTACATATCAGGAAACAAAAGACAGAGACATTAAGCAATGTTTTCAAGATCCCCAATTCAACTCACTCAGTATACAACCTGGGCTCTAAAACCATTAAGCTCACTTGTTTTTAAAACAGATCAGGGATAACCTGGATTTCTTCAAAGCAAGAGACAAAGTCTTTCAAAATGCCCTTCAGTATAAGGAACAGAAATATAGTTTAGTAATATTATTTCTGAGTGTGAAACTGGCAGAGAAATGTTACATACTGAACATTTTGGTATCTATCAAACAGTCACTGATATCTAATGTTTCTTCAATATATATATAACAGATTCATGATATAAAATATTGCAAAGGCTAAAAGAATACACTATAATAAAAATGAAATAAAATAAATGTACAATCTTGCATTTAAGTTAATTCTACAAGGAGTAAAGAGCTGAATTAAAAATTTTAAAATACTAGAAGAAAATATAAGTGAACATAGCTCAGAGCTAGAGGTAGATAAGAAATCTCTGAGCATGGAACAACAACAAACAATTCAAAAGAGAGACTATTCTCACATATACCCAAGGCAAAAATAAACTAAAAGGAAAATGATAAATCGGGAAAATCATATGGTAGATTAATAATTAATATTATTAATATGCAATTGGGTTTTTATCATTCAGAAGAAAAATAATAACATTTCAGTTGGTTGTTAAGCAAATGATATATTAAGCAATTAACCGCAAGATGTACAAAAGAAATGCTGGATGACAATATTAACTATAGTAATTAATCAGGTTTTATATTAGGATAGATGATCTGCAAGGCTTCTCTATTTTAAATTCTATCACTCTTTGTGTTAAAAATAAATAAACAAAAGCAAAGTTTTGGGCATTCTATGTCCAGACAGACAAGAAAAAAAATCCAAGTGTTGCATATTTAATAAATTCCACACAAAAGAAAGTTGATAATAGTAACCAGCTGTTCCTTTCTTTCCACTAAAGAGAAAATGAGTAAAAACAAAACTGCAGCATTAAAGATTTAAACTAGAATTAAAGAAAACTCACTTGACATGAGAGGATGTTTCAAAGTAGGATGCATTTAGATTGTTCCTGAATATTTGGATAAGTTCCAGAGGGGGAAATTTCAAAAATAAAACTGATAGAACATCTGTGGATATTTCTTTAGGAATCTGTCATTCTAGTCTGAAGGAAGCTTACATGCAATCTTAACCAAAGGACAGAGAATACATGGGAATTAGTTTATATTTAAGATATTCCAATTACCTGTTCATTCATGAAGATAACTTTAAAACTTTACCACAATTTAATGACCTTCCAAACGTAATTGCCATGACTTGGCATACAAAATGCTATAGTCAGGTAAGTAGTACAAGTCTTTTACAGAGTTTGACTTAATCCCTTTTTATAATTAGTATAGGCAGTGATTAACATTTGTAATATGTATTTCAATAGATAATAGTATTTATTCTATATGCCTTACTGTATACCAGGCTGTGTGCTAAGCACCTTACATAGTAGGTATTCCTTTTAATATTAGCAGCAACCACACAAGGTGTGTATTTTCATCCTCATTTACTGATGATAAACTAATGAATCTGAAGATATAAGTAACTTTCATGGTCAAAAAAACTACCCTATCATCTCCATTTATTTGTTCAATTGGTTTAATTTCACCTTGAACCACATGCTCTGGGTCTACTTAGGTTTTCAGCTGAAGCTGTGGTGGACAGTTCCTATGCAGTCTTGAATACTGTTGAATTTCACTTCAAGCTCAGCTTTCCCTACTTTCTTTGGTTTTCTGCCTCTAGTAGTTTTTCCTGAAGTCAATAAATTTATTTAGCCATGGGAAGGTAGCCTAAAAGGATGGGAGGAGTTAATGTTCCTAAGAAAAATTCTCCAGGAAAGAGTGACAAGTTAGTGGATTGAGGTGTCAGCTTCCTGGCTTACAGAGGAAGGACTCCAAGGAGATTTCCACAGGGTTCTAAGAGGTCTCCAGTAGAATTCAGTCCCAGTTGCCTACAATAAGTGGCTCAAAAATGCACCTTTTAGTTAGTGTCTCCTTATTTCCTAATATATTCTCCCCATTCCTCCCTCCTGTATCCCAAGACCCCTCCCAAATGACCTGTCCTCAAGTGATTATTTTGGATTTTGTTTCAAGGGAATCCAAGGGAAGACTATCTGTATGGACCCTTGTGCCAATTTGTGCAGTTCTATGATCTGGTTCTTCAGTTACCCTCTTACTCTAAACACTCTTACCCTACCAACTTTCTGAAAGAATCAACCCCAACAAATTCAAATGTCCAAGTTATTTTTTGTTCCTAGGTCTTTAACTACTCCTAGAGAAAATTATATTTGTATTTTTGTAAATTTATGATCACCAACCTCATCTTACATCCTTAAACTATACTGTTTTCCTCAAATTCTTGGTATTATGACTTCTGTTCTTGCTCTCAGATAACTTTGCTTCCTATAGGGAAAACACAAACTATCATGAATGCCTTCTACCAATGCGATGAAATCTACAAATTCACTTATATAATACCATCCTTTCTTCTGTTCTTATACATGAAAGAATTG